GGTGTATGCTCGTGTCTCCCCGAAGCAGAAGGAAGATATTCTTCTCGCGTTATGAAGGATGCTGGATATACGACTCTCATGTGCGGCGATGGCACTAATGATGTTGGTGCACTTAAACAAGCTCATGTTGGTGTCGCCCTGTTGAACGGTTCTCAGGATGATCTCAACAAAATCGCAGAGCATTGGAGGAACACCAAGATGAAAGAGATCTACGAGAAGCAAGTCTCGTTGATGCAAAGATTTAATCAACCCGCCCCCCCAATTCCGGCGAACATTGCGCACCTATATCCTCCCGGACCAAACAACCCTCACTACGAAAAAGCATTGATTCGTGAGGCACAAAGGAAAGGCATCACTGCCCCCGCCGCCATTGGAGGAAATGGAATCCCAACCGTGACATCTCCAGGTGCACATGCCATACAACAATCGACTATGAACCTAACGCCTCAGCAACTCCAGCAACGCCAGGCGTCAGTTGCTGCAGCCGGATTTGCCGATAAGTTGACGGCCACGATGATGGAGCAAGAATTAGATGACAACGAACCCCCCACGATCAAGCTGGGAGATGCTTCGGTTGCCGCACCGTTCACCAGCAAACTTGCAAACGTTATTGCAATCCCCAATATTATCCGTCAAGGCCGATGCACGCTGGTTGCAACTATCCAAATGTATAAGATCCTTGCGCTTAACTGCTTAATCAGTGCGTATAGTTTAAGTGTCATATACCTTGACGGCATTCGATTTGGTGATGGTCAGGCAACTATCAGCGGCATACTAATGAGCGTTTGCTTTTTGTCAATTTCTCGTGCGAAGGTATGTACTCACCACAATCCAACGCTCTTTGGTACTGTGTGGACTGGGAATCTCATATACAACGCTCTTCAAATAGTCTGTCGAAGGTCTTTCCAAAGAGCGTCCACAACCTAACATATTCAACATGTACATCATGGGGTCCGTCCTAGGCCAATTCGCGGTCCACGTCGCAACCTTGATATATCTATCCAACTACGTCTATACAATAGAGCCGTAAGTCCCCCCTTTTGATTCCAGCCAAGCAAAACGACCAAACCCCACAGATCTGGCTAATCTCTTTCCAATTTCCCCCTTTTATCCTACAGTAAAAAAGAAGTCATCGACCTAGAAGGCGAATTTGAACCCTCCCTCCTCAACAGTGCCATCTACCTCCTCCAACTAATTCAGCAAATCTCCACCTTCTCCATAAACTACCAAGGCCGTCCGTTCCGCGAATCTATCCGTGAAAACCGTGGTATGTACTGGGGTCTCATCCTGACATCCGGCGTCGCCTTCTCCTGCGCGACGGAGTTCATTCCGGAACTCAACGAGAAGCTCCGCCTTGTTCCATTTACGACCATGTTTAAGGTCACGTTAACAGCACTGATGTTGGCGGATTACATCGGTTGCTGGCTCATCGAGAATATCTTGAAGACGTATTTTAGCGATTACAGGCCGAAGGATATTGCGGTGCGGAGGCCCGATCAGTTGGCATGGGAAGAGGAGAGAAAAAAGAAAGAAGCAGTGGCGGAGGAGAATGAGAAAGAATCGAAGAGGAAAGTTTGATCTTTATAGAGATGTTCTCCGTGCGATATCTTTGGGCGTGAGGGGGTTGGCAACATTTTCCATCTTAATTCCTAAGTTTATCAACGATTGTTACCTTTTCATTTTGGCTTGTTAGAATTAAAATAGCCCGTTTGATTTAGGTTAATGGTAAGGAGTATTGTATCATATCTCTTTTGCTTATGCTTATAGATTCATTTTTGCATGTGCTCCTGTTCAATTTCCTTTTCCTTTTTTTTTTTGTTTTGTCTACTCTAGGAAGCAATGTTGGATAGGCTTCAAAATGTCTGGCTTAAAGCCGCAGGAAAAAAACTATGCATTGTGATGACACAATTGACTATAATTGAATCAGTTCATTGGTCTTACTTTATTAATTCCATCAGTATATAGGCATGTATGTACAGAACTTCACATGGTTCTTTAGCAAAACACCTCTGTTGGGGCTTTATCTTCAATGTTGGATGTTGGATGACACTTCATACTACAACGCAATGGATAGGATATCATATAATCGAATATCTGTTGTGGAAATCTAGACTTTGTTTGGTCTGGCGACCAAATGAAATCGTGCCCATATCTCAAACAATGAGAAAGATAGAAAACCAGACAAATAGGAGGGTATTAACCTATCCAACACTACTATGAACACGCTTTCTTCACCTCTGGTGTCTCCAGGAATTCCTTAAGGATGGACACAATTTTCTCCAACGAAGCTGTAGACAGCTCCAGAGCTGCCTGGCACTTGGCAGTATCATTTCCCAGTTTAGCATAGAAATCCTTGCGATAGGGGGTTGCTCCCATGGCGGCGACAAAAATAGGTTTCACGAGGAAATTGTGGTGTGGTTTCAGGGTGTCACCGTAAGCTGCACGGAATGAAGTGGACAATTCGTCATTAGGAAAGGATATATTATGGCGAAGGGCTTTAGCAGTGAAGTCAAGACCCCTTCATAAAATGTTTTTTTCATGGGGCAGAAGTTAGTAACTAGTATTCATGTGGACCGCTTTTAGGTAGGATGATTAAGGTTTGAAAATATTTGTGTCTCAATCTTTGATGGCCGTGTAAAACATACCGGACAAGCCAAAGGAAACCAACACTAGCAGTGTTCTTTTTAGCTTTTATTTCATTAAGAACGAGGGCTTGCAGAGTTTCTGATTCTGCGGGTGCCGCAAGCTGTCTATCTCTGATTTTCTAAAAGGTATTCCGCAATTAGGACGAGTATAACTTGTAGAACGGTCTATTGGGGATTGAGGTTTCAGTACCTTGATGTTGCCCAGAAGGTCATTTTTCACTGGAGTGAAGGCAACTGAACCCAGGAGATCTAGTGGTAGCAACAGGCATTAGGTAGGGCAAGCTACTCCATGCTGATATAAAAGACAGATACACACCAAAGAGCGTAGTCAAAGACTCAGCGGCTTCGAGGAACTCGGAGGTTGAAATCGCGTTATCGTCGGCGACAGGGACGGCATCAAAGCCCCTCTTGAGAGTATCAAACCAGGTACCGCCTTCAGGAATAACCTGGGTGTTGGCCATTGCTATTTAAACGTATCTTATGGCAGTATTCAATGTAGAAATGGATCAATTCGATCTCTGTATCAGTGAGAGAACTCCCCCGTTAGGGAAAGTCTGCTCCCCGCCTTTGATAACATGCCAAAGTGGG